GGCAGTGCTATAGTGGGTAGGTAAATTACCAGACGATTCACCCTTTCTAACCTGAAATGGATTGAAACCAAAATAGCAACGAACCTTCACATCACAGATCTGTTCCCGTAACAAGCAAACAATTAGCTGTCGCCAACACAACAAAATAATTTCAAAACTACTTTAGACTTTACAGAGTTCGCATGCCTTTTAAATTATTTTCCAAACACCGAAACTTGCTAGTACTTATCATTCTAGAATGCTCACAAAGAACATTGACTTACAATATAGATATAGTCCACTTCATCCATTATGTAAAATACAAGTTGAATATACGTTTCATTTTAAGCGTGTTTGTAAACATGAGCTAATTTCGGATATAAACATGTGCCATATATGTACAATTACATTACATTAGATTTTACTAATTCTGTTCATCGACTGATAAACAACTTTTAATTTCCATTTCAAAATACACAAATTACTAATTGTTATATAAACTCTGTCGTGTTAAATATTACTTCTTCAAAATTTGTAGATAAACTCGTACTTCATCTTAAACAATTATCATATTGTTATCTATCACTTTATTTATATCAGATGAATGCTTATTTTCGTAATTTTTTGTTGATTACATACATGCACTCGATTGATATTATAACTAATGTATCTACGGTTCATACATCTGTTTATATAATAGTATAACCTTTATGTTTATAAATATTGATAATATTTAGATATATCTTAAAGAAAATTATTTGAAACTTTATGAAATTATGCAAATTATACTATTTAAATACATTTTGTGTTTTTCAGAAAATAGAAGCACTTTGCTCAAAGGCAGACGACGAATCTTTCAACGATAACTTGTAATAAAATCATGAACTGTTGTTTTTATTGCATCCCGCCATTTTAGGGTAACCTGGACCTTTCCGATACTTATCGGAACAAATTCGCAAAAAGTGTAGGTGTATCAGAAAAGTGTAGGTGTATCACAAAAAGTAGAGGTGTATCGGATAATAGCCTACACTAAATATTAAAGGATCGAGAAAAATGTATTTAAGAATGGAATACCACCCAGTCTTAATTCAGAGTTCCCTAAAAGTGTACTCTTCAAGGGATACCGAGTTGTCATAACCTGTTCTAGATTGAAAACATGGAATAAGGTGATGTTTTACGTTTTTCGTTTCTGCATCTAATAGGGATAATGAGAACATACATCAACATGTAGTGTGTAATGTAATTTTGTCTGGTAAGTAGTACATGTTTTCCATGTTCAACAGTCGACAGATCTTTCGGATGCACAACCTGTAGCACACTGGGCCACTAAGCTTCCCACGTCATGTTTTAACCATTTGACATTATGCATGATATGCCAGAACAGGCGTAACAG